AGTTAACTTAGGGGCACCTGGGTGGCTCAGTCAGTTGAGCGTCCAACTTCAGCTCAGGTCCTGAGCCTGGAGCCTGCTTCATTCAGATTCTGTGTCGCCTTCTCTCTCTGCCCTTCCCCCACTCACACTCTGTCTCTCTCAAGAATAAACATTAAAAATTTTTTTAAAAAAAGTTAACTTAAAAGACACATTCAGGATCAGCTGAATATTTTTAATTTCCATGTGCAAAGACTTAACCTCCCAAGATGTTTATCATAATAACTGCCGTAAAATAACTACAAAAAAATTCTATCCAAGGACAGTTTGGCAATATCATCTAACAAGATCTAGGAGACTTTATCTATAAGATAAAATACTATGCTTCCTTTTAACTCGTGGTGTAGAAAACAATTTAATGACAGGAAATTATTCACAATATATTTTATTTGATAGCATGTTTTAAAAATGGAAATGTGTGCACGTGCACACACAGAGAAAAGACTTGAAAAGTGATGTCTCTCTTTGTAAAAAGTGGTTACCTCTGAGTAGTAAGGTTGTGAGCAATTTGTATTTCCTTGCAATCTGGGGGGAAGAAGTTACCTTAAAAAACTGTACTATAAACATAGAAATTCTGGGGCGCCTGGGTGGCTCAGTCGGTTAAGCGTCCGACTTCGGCTCAGGTCCTGATCTCGAACTCTTCGTGAGTTCGAGCCCCGCATCAGGCTCTGTGCTAATGTCTCAGAGCTTGGAGCCTGCTTCAGATTCTGTGTCTCCCTCTCTCTCTGCCCCTCCCCTGCTCATGCTCTCTCTCTCTTTCTCAAAAACAAGTAAACATTAAAAAATAATTTTTTAAATAAATATATAAATTCTGGAATCAGAGAAAATAATTTTCACAAGAAGGTAGACAGAAATCCACTTACGGAGTGGTTTACCCTGGAAACTGGCTCACCTTGAGCAGCTCGACTCCACTGTCCTGAGCGTTCTCAGACTGCCCCTCAATCTGCTTTTGAAGGTAGAGGACTTGCCCTTCCATGTACCTACTGATTCCTTCATAGTAAAGAGCTGTCGGGGTTCTTCTTGGCACTAGGTTTTTAGCTCTACTGGAAAAGATGTGAAAGTTGTCCCATTCCTGGAGCCTGGCATACCTGCGCCAGCACAGAAGAAGAAGACAAATCAGTATCGCCCTTGGAATGTTCTGAAATGGGTCTCCCTGCAGGCCCAGCTCCCGGGACCTGGGCCTGGAGCCCACCGCCTGCTCCCCAGGAGAAACGATGTGCTATGGAACAGGGCAAGAAGAGAATGTGTGGACGGTTCGTGATGAATAGACTCCTCGGGAACCCTCGGGTAATATTAGCAAGCACTTAACTCTTTGGACTCTAAAAGGATCATCAAACACTTGGAGCTATGAATTCTAGAGCTTGAAGACATTGCTCCAATTCCAGAGAGAGATGGCCTAGGCCAGTACTGCTCAAAGTGTGGGCCACCGACTGGGAACATCCGTGTCACCTGGATGCTGCTTAGAAATGCAGGCTCGCTGGTCCAGCCCCCATCTGCTGAATCACTCTGGGGACTGGGACGAGGCCAGGAATCCATTAACAAGTGTTAACAAGCTCTCCAGGTGATTCCTGTGCCCACTAACGTGTGACAAGCACAGGCCTAGGCCACAGCTGTTGAAAGAAAGTAGGATAAGAAACTAGGATGACTTTCAGACTTTAGATTCCTTGGATTTTTAGTTCACCCGGGGCGAGTTCATTTGACTTTGAACTTTTAATTTCTTTGGACTCTTACTGGTAAGGGCAATTAATTTTTAGATTTTAATGTCTCCCAAGGAATTTCGGAATAGATTTCTTTTTAAATTTGGAACTGCTCTAGTCTGTGGCGCTTTAGACAGGAATGTCTTCAGATTCTCATTCCACTCATCACAGAGTCCAAATAAATACTGGACACCGTGGCTGCACGTAGCATGTTGGGAGCGGCTGCGGAAGTCATTTGATGAATGTTCTGGAGCCTTGCTGTCGATCTACTTCTTTGAAGGTACGACCATAGCTGCAGGTTTACGGAGTTGAAAACCTAATGAGTGGGAGCGCCTGGGTGGCTCCGTCGGCTAAGCGTCCGACTTCGGCTCAGGTCACGATCTGGCGGTCCGTGAGTTCGAGCCCCGCGTCGGGCTCTGGGCTGATGGCTCAGAGCCTGGAGCCTGCTTCCAATTCTGTCTCCCTCTCTGCCCCTCCCCCGTTCATGCTCTGTCTCTCTCTGTCTCAG